ATCTATCTATATAAAAAATTTTGTGACTTCTGTCAGTCTGTCCGTCACACCGTCTAAAATAGCTATGCATTGACCGATCGAAAAAAATTGGGGGGAGAAGTTCAAATACGTAATTGGATACAAAGTACAGTTAGTTTTAAGAGGGTGCGTAGCTTATTACAATACATTTTCATTATTTTAGTTATATTATTTAACAATCGAAATACTCCCACTATTTAAAAACAATTTAACGATTAAAATAACAAATACTTATTTATTGTTTTCTTTTTGTTTTGTTTTTTTTGCATATCTTTTAAGTTTTTATTGGATTGCGAAATTGAACAAAACAAAGAGTTTGTAAATCTTGACAAAAATATTAGCGATAACTTCAACAATAATAAATACGCATGGCCAGTTATATGCTGCATGCTCAAGGGTAAGAAATCCTTAGAATTTATACTTCACTGTTAAACAGCAAAAAAGAAATTTTCTTAAAAAATATTGTTTACCATGAAGTCCTATAAAATTAGATTAAATTAAAAACATTATTAAACCTCGAAGTTGGGTTTTTGTCAAAGTATTTTCCAAACAAAGCAGCTGACTTACATTTCATTGAATGGTTTGCTAAATTGAACGAAACAGAGTTTGTAAATCTTGACAAAAAGGTTAGCGATAACTTCAACACTGATAAATTTTGTGAGGATTCTAGTTAAATTAAAATATCCACGAGGAACGACACTTCTTTTTACGATGCTGTATTCGTTGTTATTTCGCCAGCGAACACTCATTTGAGTCATAAGGGGATATAATTGTATGATCTGGCGAAGGATTCTACTCTCGTCTCAGAAGGTATAATGTCTAATTCCAGTGGACTCGTTCCCATCAGACTATACCACTCCATTGCGCTTAGAGGACGCAGAGTCAGGACTATTCTCTGAGGCCTGTGGTGTGCCAGAAATGAAAACCAAAGGGGTTGGACAATTTCTGTCTGTTCCCACCTGTGTGTTTTGGGTCCACATCAAACGTTATTTTGTGCTGAATTTGCCTCCCTTCCGCTTGTACATTAATAAAATACAATCTCTCTCTCCCTCTTTCTCTCACTCAGACGCACATTAAGCCATTTTGCTCTCGTTTCTTTCCTCTCCCCCCCCTCTCTCTCTCTCTCTCTCCCTTTCTATTCCTTCCACTTCGCTACCTAACATCAACCTTGTTCTTTTCTCGTCGCCCTCCTCCCCAGGGTTCTTATAGTCTTCGCTAAGTATGAAGCACGTTCAAATGTTTCATTGTTTTACAGTTGAAATGGCGAGATGTAACCGTAAGTTCTATGTTGACAGTTTCTTCTTTTGCGCTTGTAGAACTCTCTTCCCGTTTTTTGCTTCCCAGTCAATTTTGATTTTCAAAAAATTAAATGCAATGTCAATCGTTATCGTCTGTCTTCTTATTTTCTCTTTTATAGTTTTCGTTCCTCGCCCAATGTTTTCCTTTTTCTTGTATTCTTTCACGTCCAGTAACTTCCTGCGTCTTAGTGGCTTTCTTGCCTTGCTTGGGAGTGAAATTATTTAGATGGATGTCCAAATTTTTTAATGCTTCGGTCTAATAAATAGAAAAGAAACGCATATATTCTTGGGTGCTGCACAAAATTACATATTTAGTAAATATATTTATTTACTTATTTAATTGTTCAAGCCAGACTTTAATAGCAAAGTTGATGGAAACAAAAAGAAAAAGATTTAAATGAAATTAGCTCGATTATATATCCAAAATACATTATTAAAAAAGACAAAACCCATTACGCATTATTACGAAAAATTTCTAAATGTTAAATTCCCATCGTCTCTCGTTGATGTCTTTTTTGTAGCCGCATCAACCTAAATAAACCCGTCCCTTAGGACTTCATTGGACTAGGTGTCGTCAAACGAAAACTTTTTCCACTTTGTCATATATCTTTCCTCCAAAACTGTTCCTGATATATAAAAAATTATATATCGTTATCCCATATATATATATATATATTTTGTTGAAACCTCCTCTCCTGATGAGTGAACTGAACGGTTATAAAAATGTTCGTCTACGAAACTCTGGAGTCGTAGTGCTGAATATAACTTCAATTCGTTAAGCATCACATTTCATTTTTATTAATCATTATATATATATATATATATATATATATATGATCCGGTTTGCTTTGTTTACATATATTCGTATTTTATAAACGCTTATAACACCCCTCCAATGACACAATAATTATTTTTAATTTTACGAATTTCGATCTGAGATTATCCCTCTGTTCAATATGTGAATGATATCCACCATTGAATCAAGTACACAAATAAATGTTAATTACAATATAATAACTATTTGTTGTATAACAAATATTTTATAAGACAGACTTACGGACATACCTATATAAATATCCACATTTTCTCCACTGTATGCAAATGAATATTGTTGAGGTTTCCCTTTAAAGTATTATATGTAAAACAGATATTTTAGTTAATTAAACGAGGACAAAAGAAAGGGTACCTATATTATCAGTACGATAAACATTTCTTAAATATTAATTATTAACCTTATGACAGAAATAAAGCACAGAAAGAAATGTTTTAAGTTCGGAATTTTCTGACACGCCTGTGCCCTTCATCAACAGACCGAGGAATAAACAAAAAAATGGAAATTATTTACCGACAGATGTTTTTGTAGACGGTGTATTTTCTGGTAGAAATCATATTATTAGCAAAAAAAAAAGCCTGATCTCTGATTCCTCGCTGTGCGAAACTTTGTATGAAAATTAAAATTTTGATCGGCAGGTCTGTTATTACTAGTGTGTGTCGTGTTTTTCTAACTATATTACTTCAAATGTCACTTTTTTTAGTGGATACCCGTGTTTGAAAAATGTATTTTTAGTAGTGGGTATTACGTCTAACGGCCCCTCCAGAAAACTAAATAAAGAAAAATGTACTCAACGCCAGTGTCCGGACTTGTGTCCCTTTTTGTAAGGGCAACCATCGTTTGATCCTGCGTGATTTAAACCACTCGGCCACAGAGAGCTTCACAGCTCAGCAAGGTTCTATTTTCCATTGTATCTGAAACGTAAACAAAGCAATTTCAAAAGAGTCAATGGATTTATCGTTAATCCGATATCATTATTACTTGAAACGTTACTTTTTAGTGGATATCCGTGGTTGAAATAGACGCCCTGTTTTGTTATTCATGCCGTTTACGGACCTACGCATTCGCGAAAACTTAAAGACTGTGACGCTTATTGTTACAGTGTAACCCGGATATAAGAGAAATTTTCTCTGGTCCCAAATTAGAGCCTGTGTTAATGTATATAAAATAGACCAAACCCGGATATAAGAGAAACCCGGATATAAGAGACTTCTTCTCCGGTCCCGACAATTTCTTATATCCGGGTTACACTGTACTACCGAGCTGTCTGAAGCTCCTTTCTACGATCAAACACTTGTTTCTCCTAGGAAGTAGGATGCAAGTTCGTACCCTGCCTGAAATCCTATATGTGTGTGTATAAATGTGCATATGTGTATAAATGTCTGTATGAATTTGGTTTCTGCGTAATGTGTGAGATATACAATGAGCATATCTGTGTGCATGTTATATATAATATAAGCACACACGCTAAATTATATCTGTGCGTGCGACTGTAGCCTGCTGTCCGTCATGTGGAGAGCGCAGGTTTGTTTGTTCCACTGATTTTCTGTTAGGGCTCGATCCCCCACACGGGCTAGTCTGGCAGAAGGCCAGACTTAAAGTAACTTTTAAAATATCCACACACACACACACAAAATAACTATTGTATAAATATACACGTACACACGATAGCACTGATACACACATCCATCAATTCACGTATTCAGTCCAGCTCTCTCTGTCCCTCCCTCCCTCTCTCTCTCTCTCATTACATTTCCATTCTTTTTTCCTCCTCCCTCACTTTTCCTTCTCTCTCCCTTTTGTTACGCTTGTCCCCTTTTCTTTCTGTCCCCTTTTCTCCAATTTTGCTGACATTTTTTTTCTCTTTGTTCCTTCTTTTCTTTATCTTCTTAAATCTCTTTTCATGTTTTCTTTTCCTCACTCTTTCTCTTTCCATCTTTCTATTTCTTCGTTTTTTTTTCACTCACTTTATATTTCTTTTCCTTTTTCGTTTTCTATTTTCTACTGCTTTCTACCTTCCCTCTTTCGTTTTTTTTTCTTTCTTCGTTTTCTTTTTTTGCTCTCTCTTTTCATTCTTTTTCTTCCTCGAACTTTTTCTGACATCTTTCTTTTTGTTTCTTTTTGGATTTTCTTGCTTTCGCTTTCCTTCCACACGTTCTCTCTTTCTTTTTTTTTTCATCGTCTTTCTTTTTTCTTTCTCAGTCAATTGTGCTATATTTTTTCTTTACGTTTTGTTCTCTCGCTCTTTCTTCTCTCTCTCTCTCTCTCTCTTTCTTCTCTCTCTCTCTCTCTCTTTCTTTCTTCTCTCTCTCTCTCTCTTTCTTCTCTCTCTCTCCTCTCTCTTTCTTTCTTCTCTCTCTCTCTCCTCTCTCTTTCTTTCTTCTCTCTCTCTCCTCTCTCTTTCTTTCTTCTCTCTCTCTCCTCTCTCTTCTCTCTCCTCTCTCTCTTCTCTCTCTTCTCTCTCCTCTCTCTCTTTCTTATCGCTTTTTCTTTCTTCTCTCTGTCTTTCTTCCATCTTTTCTCATTCACTTTCTTTTTCCTTCTCTCTCTCTCTCTCTTTCACTTATTACTTCCTCCTCCGCATCTCTTTCTTTAACATCAAAGCCAGATCGAAGAAAGCAAAGATTCTATATACGAAGAGGAAAGTGAAAAAAAAAAAAATGTTTCAAATTTTCCTAAACCAATTATCACGTGATTGGTTAGAGGGCGTAGGAGGGAGGAGGAGGAGTAGGAGGTGGGGTTGGATTGGAAGAGGCATCGGCAACACATCAAAGGGATGATTCTCTTCTCCCGCCGTCCGCACCAACACCAACAACTTCGCATTCGCCGACACCTCGCCACTGTCTTTGCCAATGATTGCCTCCCCTACCTTGCTCTCTTCGCCATGTAAATGTATTGTAGGGTTTCTTCTTTTGCTTGGGCGCGTTGATCGGCTGAAACCGTGTCGGGCGTCTTCGATGGCGTCTCTGCCGCAGCCGCCGTCGTTGTCTTCCTTTTTATTTCCTTTTTTTTTATTTATTTCTCAATCAAAAATAGTCCTATCTTCCTTCCTTCCGCGGTTTGTCTGTCTTTTAAAACGCTTTTTCTCCAACCCAAATTGTTGGCAATTACTACCTGTTATACTGTGCGGAAACTCCAAAACAATTGTCCTCTCCCCCTCTCTCTCACGTGTGTGTATGTGTCTTTACATATAATACGCACAAACTATAATGTGTACTTTGACAATAACCCTTCATTAATACATATTTGATTAAAGGCTACGGATAAGGAGTTTTCTTTTATATTGTTTGCCAACACGTAAAACGTAAGTCAGTATTTAATGCATTAGAAGAACTGTCCCAAAAACGTTTGATCGAGCGCTTTCGGCTATTTATTCAGTCATTATCAAGATCCGAGACTTTAAAGGTTACGCAAAAAAAATAATCTGTGATTATAGATGTGAGTTTTAATTTTAAAATTACAGCGTGTGTAGGATTTCAATCTTTAATCAAATTGAAACACACACACACACACACACATATATATATATATATATATATATATATATATATATATATATATATATATATATATATATGTTCATTAGGAGTGTGCTAATCCCACAATTCTCAACAATAAACCTAAAACCAGGACTTTACATAATATCGTCAATCATATATATATATATATATATATATATATATATATATATATATATAGGGAATGCTATATGAACTCTCTATATGCTAGACAAATTGTAACTGAATAGCCAAATGAAAAACAAATTGTATGTGACGCATTTCGTCCTTCAAAAGGACTTCTTCAGACTAAATAACGTTAAGCGTCCCTGCATCTTCAGCGTTTCTCTCTAAATATAAACAATCTTTACTATATTCCGTTCCCTCCCACTGCATATATAAGTAATCAATAAAAAAATTATTTATGCTTTCTGTCTGAATTTATGGGATGAGGAGTTGTTTACGCTATATTCGGACTATTGTCCTAATCTTTATCACATCACGATATCCCTAGACATGAGCATTTCAATGGTAACAGTCTACCCCTGAGATGAAAGAAATGATTCGGTTCGTAATTCCCTATAGATTACCCAGATCGATATACACCTGAGGAAGGCCGGAGAACACAACGACCGAAATATTGTGATAACAACAAAGATGAAGACAAAAATCTATATCGAAACAAATGTAGACAATTACATATGGTATCATGTCGTGAGATAAGAAAACTTGCAGCTCACACTTGTCTTTGTTGTTCAGGAACATACAGCAGAAGAATGCCTGCCCGCATGATACCTGTTCTACGCAACATGACTCACAAAATGTTCGGTAACTTAACCGGGATGAAAACCAGCAGATCGGTTTCACGTTAAATATGTATGTATGGGACAATGCCTGGCTCATTAACTCACCTACAACTGTTGCTGTCTTGTAACAAGAGGTGTACAAATATTGAAATAATCTATAGCAAGTTAATAATAGCTATCTGTACGATTGCACAGATGCAAGACCAGACGCCTGTGTTAATGCCCAAGGAGGATATATAGTATATTAATATAGGGTTGGAGTAACGTTGATAGTTACTTACACTGGAATCTGCGAACGAAAATCACCGGTCGATAGTATCATTTACTAATAATCCAACTATAGTAAATTGAAAGGTGTTGTAATAATAATTTACATCGATATTTATATATACAGAGAGAGAGAGAGAAAGAGAGATGTGTGTTTCTCTCTCTATCTATCTATCTATCTATCTCTATATATATATATATATATATATATATAATTATTTATTCGAAAATTATAACATAAACATTTTATAAAATCCCTACAAAAATAGCCATTTTGTTTCAACACTTCTGGTGTCTTATCAAGTGATGTTGTTGAATGTATAATAAAGGGTTTTAAAAGGATCAAATCAATCAAACACCCCTCGCTAAGGGAAACGCTGTTACATAAGCTAGAATGACCAATCAAAATACAACTATACGAGAATTCAAAAAACTTGACAACGAACTTTGGTTTTAATAATTATTTAATGCTTTAATGTTAGGGTTAGACTGAAATAGGATTCATTCTAACTAATAAATATTAAATTATACGATAAAATTTGAAATTACAAATTAAAAATTTAATCCATATTAAGTTTAAAATCATAAAATTACTGAGGAAAAAAGAAAAAATACATATGTTATTGTATTTATTTTGTTTTGATTAAAATTAAATTGGAATAAACGTTAAGATCAAATGTTGCTCTGAACTTCATGACAACACAGATATATTTGAAGCATAAACAGAGGCAGTGGAGGATGACATCTTGCAAAGGACCATACATACACAATCAGATTATAATACATAAACACGCAGACGTATTTAGATATATATATATATATACATACACACACACAAAGCGACGAGACAGGAAATATCTCCACGACATACATACACAATGAAAGATACACACAAGTGACCATACACACAGACAGCGATAAAGACACGTACATACACACACATACATTAACAAAGACACGCTGATGCACCTACCAAGAAATATTTAAGCTCACATATGGTAGGTGTCAACACACACACACACACACACATAACTATAACCACAGATATATTCGTATATACACGTTTATATTTATTTATATATATATATATATATATATATATATATATATATATATATATATTTATATATATGTTTATATATGTGTGTGTGTGCGCACGCGTGTCTCTCTCTATATGTGGGTTTTTACCTGTTTATATGCCTGTTCTCTATATATATATATATGTGTGTGTGTGTGTAGACTACACTATTTACATCATGACAAAAATACTTGTAAAATTGTAGAATTCTAATAAATATCAATAAAATATGAATTATGTTAAACGTTTACTTATCTTGTTCTTACTTACGAATTTGCTGAGATTCCATCCCTCTCATCAGAAGGTTTATCATCCGTTTGCTGTTTATTTAAAGCGAAAAAATATTTTTAAATTTTAAGATTTTTTTTCTCTACAGATAATAATGCTTTAGTGATACAAGTCTTACTAATTAAACCATAGCTTTTAGAAGAGATAAATTCATACTTTTCCCAAGTGTATTTGCTCGTAAGTGAATATATCGAACCCTACTGAAATTGGAACTCGGACCTCCGATTATGAATTCCGAGCCATTAGACATTACACCACTCGCACATCGAAGCTTACAGCACTTGGTATCCCGAAACGTTTACCCATCTTGGTACTGACTAGGCTCTGCATTGCTTAACTTGAACGAACAGAAAATGAAGCAAGGGAGTGATAGATTACATGTAGCGATAAGAAAAACCTAAACATTACCTACCTATGCCGGGTTCAAATGATGTCGGCGCCAAAATCAAACAATTTTCATTCTCTTCTTTTATAAGATTTAGTTTTTATTTATCAGATCACGAGTCTGGTCAGTGAAGGTTTTGGCTTAATTCTAACCGCGATATATTTTTCTTCATTTGTTAGTCATGTCCCTTCAGAACGCGGGCGATCATAGCTCTCCACCACTTCCTATCCTTTTGTAACTTTAATATTTGTCTCCTTACTCCTCTTTCCAGTCCCTGTTATCTATTTGCACTTCAGTCCCACATGCTTCCACTATGTCCTGTGGGTGTCAAATTCTCCAAGCCCTCTTTCCTCGTTATGTCCCAGAAATTTCAACTGTCTCTTTCTGATTCTAATTAGAAATGTCCTTTTTGCTTGCATTTCCCGTAAAACTATCGGCCACACCTGGTCTGGTGCTTCTGTTATGTAATTAGAGATTTTTGATAAAACCCAAAGAATCTGCAATGTTATCGGTCCTAACCTGACATCTCGGCTTCAATCACTTTCCCGCCGCTATTGCCTGTGCCTTTTCTATAAATATTTTCATGGTAATTTTTCTAATGAGCTTTCCTATGTGACACATCGACTTTAAGAATTTCAACTCAGTACAAGACTGGCAGCTAGATTTCATCATTTTAAACTTGGCATGACTAGATGTAACCGTAAGTTCTATGTTAACAGTTTCTTCTCCCGCACAATTCTCTTTCGGCTAATTACTTCCGGGTCAACTTTGATCTTCAAATGATTTAAGAGCAATATCAATCGTTATCTTCTCTCTTCTTAATTCTTGTTCTTTTTTTTTCTTTCTTTCAATAATATTTTTCTTTCACACTTAGTAACCACTTGCATCTTACTGGTTTTAATGCTTTGCTTGAGATGAAATGGGTAAAAAAAAAAAAAAGAACATATCGTCTATGTTATCCTTAGCATCCATAACTGGGTCTGAAAAGTTCTTCGCCTCGCCAAGGATCCCTTCTTAAAAAAGATTTGATATTTTTCTTCTCCTTCTTCATCATCGATATAGAAACAAATCGAGCAAGCGTTGTGTACTTATATCCGTCCGTCCGTCTGTTTTTCGATCTCGGCCAATCATAAACAACCTGAAGTAATACATAGTAACTATTGTAGTTACATGCAATTAAAAATTAAATAAATAACTCATTTAAAGTTAAATTTCAATATCGAACAGAGTGAAAGGTTTTAAAAAAAAAAACAATTCTTTATTAAAGGTTTAACTTTAATTTCGCTTTTTGTCACAATTGCAACTGATATTATCTAATTAAATTATGTAACATTTCGAATACGTTACAGTACACATGCTAGGAAAAAGTTCCGTGCCCCCCCCTTTAAGTTTTAATTGCGTTTTTTTTTTTTTTTTTTTTTTCAAACGTAATTAAAACTTGGGGGGTGGGCACGGTACATAGCTCGGGTTCTCTAATGTCTTTTAACAGTGGCTTTATGTGAAGTGATCATAAAGAATGGTGATTTTTAAAAGAAAATAAAAATTGCGGTGTAAAATAAATGTAATCAAACTACGGTGATCAGTTGCGTATACGAAGAAAGATTTTGCCGAATTAAGGTGTCGGAAAAAGATAAAATAATTTTATTATTTTTAAATTTTCATAACTTTTACGCACATAGGACGCTTAAGGGAAAAGTCCAAAAGCCCCCAAAAAACCTCCGCAAGAGCTAACCTAAAGTCCGCCCGAATAACTGCCTCTAGGCGAGTTTGGTTATATTTAGAGGCGGGGTAATATGGTTAGCATCATCACGTCTAGACAACTTGTCTTCTCCACTTGTTATCGCTCAATTAAAGGACTCGCTTTGTTTTAACATACTTTTCTTGGGTTGGACTGGTTGATTTTTTTCGATATGTCAACTCCCCGTAGAATCTGCATAAACGGGATCGGGTCAGTCTACCTCCCCGAACGAGACTCTTACCTTCGGCAGAGCCTCGTCCGGGTTCCTTTCTGTCCGGAGGCAAAAGGTTTGACTGTATAACTGAAAAGATTTCAGCTATTATATTTAACCACCCAAAAACGAGGGTTGTATGTGGCACAAGGCCGAGTTTAACAAAATGTTAAAAAAATGCCCGTAGAACCCGCATAAACGGGATCGGGTTGGTTAACCTCCCCGAACGAGGCTCTGCCCTTCGGCAAAGCCTCGCCCGGGTTCCTCTTTGCTCAGAGGCAGACAGTTCGACCGTCAAGCCGAGAAGATTTCGGGTAGTGTCCGTAGTCCGTTGACTTACAGATACTTATACGTAGTTACTACCTATAGTGTATTCACTCATGGGGGTAACAGGTTATTCCATTACATGATGTACCCATCCATGTTCGATAGACTCAAAGATAAGCGACCACAAGTTGTCTATCCCCGAACCAAGTGTCATTGAATAATGAACATTAATGGAGAAAACGTTTTAGCTAGTGAATTGTTTGCGTATGTATAGTTTGGTGTAGGAGAAAGTCCTAGAAAAAAATGAAGTGAAAGATGATTACGTACGTGTGTGTGTGTGTGTGTTGTTCATGCGTGTCCCAAAAAGGGAACGCGTTCTTCCGCGAGAACATTTACATGTTGACGTATATGCGGAAAAAGCGTCCCCTAGTAGCGGTTACGGAAATTAGGAAGAGGTAATCGACACTCCAAATCACATTTTTCATATTATTATTATTAGTAGTAGTAGTAGTAGTAGTAACATCTTGCTAGAGAGTAATTTTAAGAACCGAATTACTAAGTCCTCCTCCCTGAGTACTATAGAAGAGTTATCTATGCACATTTGGGACTTTTCCTTTAGATGAGAGGATTCTGCGGGTGATATGTGCAGTTCCGCTCATAGTAATCTTTTGTAATTCTGAGATACCGATGTCTAGGAATTGTTCCCACATCATTTTCGGTACCCTTTCTTTATGATACCCAATGCCACAATCACAACAGAAATAATCGTACTTTGAAGTTTCCACATTTTTTTTTATTTTGATTTGTAGATCCTTATAATTTCACAATTTTTGAAATTCATTTTTAGAAACATTGGAATTCTGTGGTCAAGTCATATCAATTAGTTGTCAGGTTATTTTTTTTTAATTATTATTATTATTTCCTTGGATTTCTGTTGTATACACTTTTCTTTCCGGGTCCCTATCAAAGACCTAAGGTTAGAAATGGCTTCATGACATTATCCACTGATCACTTTTGTATAAAAAAAAAAAAACACTATGATCATACATATTTGATATAGATAAAGCCCTTCGTAAGGTGTGATCTCTACTTGTGAGTACATTTTTTTTCTTTAAGGCATGGGCCACAAGGAATATCTTTAAGGAGTCTATCGGAACCTTTGCTAATTATCTCGATTATTCTTTTTTTTATTCTTTTTATTATTATTCTTTTAACTCGGATTATTCATTTTCTTCTTATTATTGCTACGACGACGACGACAAATCATAATTTATTATTGTAAATTTTTAAAAAAGAAAAAACTGATTTGGACATTAAATAACCCCAAATTACATGTGAAATCAACTAACACCACCCTCCATTAGAATAAAAATATGATTTGTTTAATTTTGTTTTTCACATTTGAGTCAGTGAAGAATAATTTTTCCTGGTTTATTTTTTAAATCCCATTTACTTTTCTTCTTTCTTCGTACTGTCTTTCGTTCAACAAAATTATTTTTCTCTTTTTTTATTTACTTGCTATTTCTTCTTCCTTTCTTTCATCCACTCAGCTTTTCGTTTTTCGCTTTTTCAACTTTATTCATAATCATTTATCCCCCTCTCTAGAAAAGGTTCTTTTTCTTTCTTGCTTGCTTCCTTTCACTCATTCTCTTTCTTTCTTTCTTTCTGTCATTCACTCTTTCTTTCTTTCACTCTTTCTTTTTTCACTCTTTCTTTCACCTACTCACTTTTCTTTCACCCCCTCTCTTTCTTTCATTTTCTCTATCTCACTATTTTTCTCTTTCTCTCTATTTTTCTCTCTCTTTCATTTTCTCTCTCTTTTTCTCTCTCTTTCATTTTCTCTCTCTTTTTCTCTCTCTTTCATTTTCTCTCTCTTTCATTTTCTCTCTCTTTTTCTTTCTCTTTCATTTTCTCTCTCTTTTTCTTTCTCTTTCATTTTCTCTCTCTTTTTCTTTCTCTTTCATTTTCTCTCTCTTTTTCTTTCTCTTTCCTTCCTCTTCGTTTGCCCCTATTTTCCTTTTGGAATTCTTACAAATAAGTCTTCTGCTTCTCCCACGCACTCGCGCATGCATGCGTGCACGTACGCTTCGCGCGTCACTTCTCTTTCCCCCTGTCATCTGCAAATGCCTCTTCACCCGACCCAGCCCTGCACTGCCCCTCGTTCTAATCGACCTGTCCATTCTCTGGGCGTTGGCAGCAGCACTGGCCATCCCCTTGATTGTTTCTTTCATTCGTCGCTTTGGTTTACGCGGCTCGAAATGGCGCCTGTGTTCTCCGCTTTGTGATGTCGTCCACATCAAACGGGATGAGCCGTTTCTTCTTACCTTGCCCCCCCCACACACACACACCTCGCGCTCGCTCATCCTCTCCTCTCTCTTTCTCTCTCGCCTACTCATCCTCTCTCTCTCTCTCTCTCTCTCTCTCTCTCTCTCTCGTCCTCATCCTCTCCTCTCTCTCCCCACCACTCTCCTCTCCTCTCTCTCTCATTCGTTCCCCCTCTCTCTCCCTCCTCATTCCCTCTCTCTCTCTCCCACCACTCATTCTTTCCTCTCCTCTCTCTCTCTTTCCCGTCCACCACTCATTCGTTCCCCTCTCGTTCCTCTCGTCTCACCCCCCACCACTCATTCTTTCCTCCCGTCTCTCTCTCATTCTATCCTCTCTCTCTCTCCCCACCACTCATTCTTTCCTCTCCTCTCTCTCTCTCTCATCCACCACTCATTCTTTCCTCTCCCCCACTCTCTCTCTCCACTCATTCTTTCCTCTCTCTCTCTCGTCCACCACTCATTCTTTCCTCCTCTCTCTCTCTCTCTCTCTCTCTCTCCACCACTCATTCTTTCCTCTCTCTCTCTCGCCCACCACTCATTCTTTCCTCTCCTCTCTCTCGCCCACCACTCATTCGTTCCCCCCTCTCTCTCTCTCTCTCTTGCCCACCACTCATTCTTTCCTCTCCTCTCTCTCTCTCTCTGTCATCCACCACTCATTCTTTCCTCTCTCTCTCTCTCTCTCATCCACCACTCATTCTTTCCTCTCCTCACTCACTCTCGTCCACCACTCATTCGTTCCTCACCTCTCTCTCTCTCTCGCCCACCACTCATTCTTTCCTCTCGTCTCTCTCTCCACCACTCATTCATTCCCCCATTCTCTCTCCATCCATCTCTTGCCCACCACTCTCTCTCTCTCTCTCGCCCACCACTCATTCCCCCCCACTCTCTCTCCATCTCTTGCCCACCACTCATTCTTCTCTCTCTCTCTCGCCCACCACTCATTCTTTCCTCTCGTCTCTCTCGCCCACCACTCATTCGTTTCTCTCCCTCTCTCGCCCACCACTCATTCTTTCCACTCCTCTCTCTCTCGTCCACCACTCATTCTTTCCTCTCTCTCTCTCTCGCCCACCACTCATCTCTCTCTCCCCCACTCATTCTTTCCTCTCCCCACTCTCTCTCCCACCACTCATTCTTTCCTCTCCTCTCTCTCTCTCTCCACCACCACTCATTCTTTCCTCCTCTCTCCCTCTCTTGCCCACCACTCATTCTTTCCTCTCCTCTCTCTCTCTCTCGCCCACCACTCATTCTTTCCTCTCGTCTCTCTCTCTTTCCCTCCTCTCTCTCTCTCATCCACCTCATTCTTTCCTCTCCCCTCTCTCTCTCTCTCGTCCCACCACTCATTCTTTCCTCTCCTCTCTCTCTCTCGTCCACCACTCATTCTTTCCTCCTCTCTCTCTCTCTCTCTCCACCACTCATTCTTTCCTTTCCTCTCCTCTCTCTCTCTCGTCCACCACTCATTCTTTCCTCTCGTCTCTCTCTCCCACCACTCATTCTTTCCTCTCGTCTCTCTCGCCCACCACTCATTCTTTCCTCTCGTTTCTCTCGCCCACCACTCATTCGTTTCCCCCCTCTCTCTCTTGCCCACCACTCATTCTTTCCTCTCTCTCTCTCTCTCGTCCACCACTCATTCTCTCCCTCTCTCGCCCACCACTCATTCTTTCCTCTCCTCTCTCTCTCTCTCGCTCTCTCTCTCTCTCGCCCACCATTCATTCCTCTCCTCTCCTCTCTCTCCCCACCACCTTTCTCTCTCTCTCTCGCCCACCACTCATCTCTCTCTCCCCCCTCATTCTTTCCTCTCTCTCTCTCTCTCGTCCACCACTCATTCTTTCTCCTCTCGTTCCTCTCGTCTCTCTCGTCTCTCTCTCCCCACCATCATTCGTTCCCCCCCTCTCTCTCTCTCTCTCTCGTCCACCACTCATTCTTTCCTCTCGTCTCTCTCGCCCACCACTCATTCGTTTCCCCCTCTCTCTCTCTCTCTCTCCCTCTCTCGTCCACCACTCATTCTTTCTTCTCCTCTCTCTCTCTCTCATCCACCACTCATTCTTTCCTCTCCTCACTCTCTCTCTCTCGCCCACCACTCATTCTTTCCTCTCCTCTCTCTCGCCCACCACTCATTCGTTCCCCCCCTCTCTCTCTCCCTCTCTCACCCACCACTCATTCTTAAAAAATATAATTTAATACTCAAAAACTTTGGTCTTTCCTCTAAACAATGATTTTGAAGTTAAAACTTTTTTTTCATCATGTATATATCAAATCTTTGGAGGTATCTAAATATATATGCGTATCTGTGTGTCCTGTTACCTCTGCCTCTCTTCCAAACTGGAGGAACTCGTGTCAGTTATCTGAAATAGAAAATTATATCATATAGGGGTGTCAAAACTTTCGGACCACACTGTACATTAAAGCCCGTCAATTTTCATAATTGTCTTTTCATTTGTAACCTCTTACTTCTTAAACTTATGACCCGTGTTCGTAATTATGATTGCTATGGCCATATTTAGTTAAAGTTGTTCAACTGAAATATTTAACTTGTGAATAAGGAAATTTCAATGGAAATTTTATAGTCGGGAAACTTGCAAGAAGGTTATTAAATTCAGAATTATCGTGATATATCTACGAGTACTCATTTTTATTGCTGTTGTTGTTGTTGTTTTGATTTGGTTTGTTTTACGGCATATCAAACTCAATGGTTTATTTAATGCCGACAAGATGTATTGCTGGTAATATTTTTTTTCCTTCAAAAATATATTGCTGGTAATAATTATTTACAAAATGTATTGCTGGTAATAATTATTTACAAAAAATATATTGCTGCTAATAATTTTTCCTCAAAAAATTTATTGCTGGTATTAAAACCTATTTTTACATTTTCATGGTGTTTTGACCCCAGTTTGGGGGTTAAATATTTGCCCATAGTTGAGACCCTAACAGGTGCTACCACACCGGTTCAAGGTGGACCTGGGAACACCAGCAATTAACAGGTGGTTCCACGCTTCTCACAACCTCCTGAACAGAGACCTTGCTGTCGGATGTAATTTATCGTCTTACCCAGGACGGGTTAATATTATTGCTATTGTTTTTATTAGTAGTAGCAATAATAATAATTTATCTGTCTAGCGATTCTTGGCATTTCGCTAAACTTAATTACTTTCTAATACTTTTGTTAGTTTAAGAAAACTTCCACCCGCTTTAGAGAAAAAACAAAAAAAAACAACGCTATTTAAACAAACAAATCGATGACTGACGCCATCTTGTTTGACTTCCCTTCTTTTAGCTGTGATTTTCACATTGTTCTGATGGGGAGGATTTTGACTGGTGTTAAAAAGGGGACCACGTCTCCCCTATTGTTATGCCCGAGGTGCTAGTTTCAACGTCACAAACAAAATAAATAAGTAATAATAGCTACACCCGGAGGGGTCTTTTCTTCGGGCCGGGTTGTCTGAAAACTATCCCCGGGGATTAAGGAGGTGGCCCCTGTCTAATAGCATTATCCCAGATTACATGACAACGAAAAAAAAGAGGCGGGCTTTCAGCATTTGTGTGGGTATTAATTTTGGGATATTTTCATTATGTCCAGTCGGTGGCGTGGGGGTTGGGGGTGGGTCGAGTGTGCACAACTAAATTAGAAATAAATTCCCCATGCCCCTCCTCCTTATCCGCGGTTTTAGTTATCCGCGGCAAATCTCAGAAACACACAGTTCATATATTTTCGCTTCATATCTTTCTTGAATTCCAAATGCAGTAATGCTGGTGAATTGGATACCTCCCACCTCCCCTCAAAATCTGATAAAATGCTTCCTTTAACTGAAAAACGGAAAGGTGGGAGGGTCGTATGATGACGTTACTAAGGTCTACGGTAATTGCATTGTTTTAGTGTTGTTTGTTAATCTCTTTCTTTGTTGCACCAATTCAGGATGTTGGTGATCATGGCTCTTCACCACTACCTATTCTTTGTAGCTCCTAGAGTAATGTTTGCTTTTTTATTATCCCTCCCACTCTGTTCTGTAAATCCATTTACGCAAGCTCGTTAGATAGGTTGCTCGTTGTCCCATTTGCTTTTGATGCGTCTTGTGAGTGTCAAGTTTTCCAAAGCTTCTCTCCTAATTATGTGTCGCATAAATTTCAAAGTCTTTCTGATTCTAAGTATAAATGTCCCTTTTGTTTCCATTTTCATTAAAATCTTTGCGTTGCTTACACAGTCTATTCATAGTATTCTCAGCATCCTTCTGTAGAGCCATATTTTTGTTGCCTCCAGTCAGATTGCCCAGCCTTCACTGCTATAGAGGAGGACGGTATTACTTAACAGTTGATCACTTTTTTTTTCTTTGTTAATAACGGATTTTACCTGTTTTTCTAGTAATTTGTTCAAATTTTTTAAATGCATCTTTTGCTATTCCGACCTAGCTTCGGATTTCGGTGTCACATTTTTCACCTTCTGTTGAAACACTTCTCAGATCGTTAAATTTCTGTATTTGTACGATTCTAACCTCACCAATTCGTAGCTCGCATCTTGTTTTCTTGCTGACAAACATAGATTCTGGCTTCTTGCAATCAATACTTCGTTCTTTCTTCTCGCTATCCTTTACGACCGCTTACGGTGAAATCGTGCTGAAAACACCGGTTAAAACACCACGGTTAAGCAGATGCCTCGAAAACAGTCAACAGTTAATCCGTCACTTAGATGGGGGTCCGCTCGAGAAAACAGTCAACAGTAAGCAACCTCCTCTAATCCGAAATGTTTTGGGTTTAGATACCCCACAAAGTGTCGATAAGCCGTAAAAAATCAAATAAATCAACCCTTTACTAACTTGTTTAGGCGGGGGGGGGGCTGTATTTCTTTTCTTGCCTTCAACAACAACTTCAGTCACTCAAACGGTGGAGTAATGGATAGCGGCTCGGATTGTGGAATCGGGGAGCCGAGTTCGAATTCCAGTCGAATCCATTACATTCACTTACGTACTTGATACCCTTGTGAAAGGTATGTATCCTCTTCTTCCCCCACCCCCAATTATGGGTAAATAGCAAGACAGACCGGGTTCTATAGTCTTTGGAGGTAACTGGTCTACCGCAGGAAGAAATGATTACCTGCCTCGTCAGTATCGAAAGATACATGACTGACACTGACCGTCACGTTGTATAGTGATTTTTCCAAGCGTAAATTAGATGTGGTACAAGGCCGAAAGTAGGGGGCACCCAATGAGGATCGAACTCACTATTCAGTCGTAATTGTTCTGATCTCGAGGAGCCCAATCACCTTGTATATTGTGTCACGTATCAACAAAGTGTGTCGCTGCCATTATTTGTGTCAACAGAGGGTAAAACTGTAAGAAATTAATTTCTGAATGATTATCATTATTAAACATTGGATTATTCAAACTAATATCTTTATCTTTAACGTTCAGGAATCAAGAAAGACACTATTTAAAAAGATTCAGTGTGGTAATAATGATTTGTTTTAAACGTTTCACATGTCAAGAAAAATCGAATGACAATTCGAATGTGTCGCGAACTCGGCTTCCGTTACCAATGGCGCGAATTTAAATATATTTGAAAACTGTTTATTGTCCGTTTAAATGTTTCGTTCGTCGTCGTCGTCATTCTTGAATCATTGTCTCATGAATGATTTCAGGGTTTAAGAGAAACAATCTATAAAAAAAAAACTGTCAGCTGTTTGTGTGTACTTCTTTTTCTCTTCGCGGGATTCAACGCAGGAAGGTCGTCGCTATAAATTCTTCCATCACAGCGATAGAAATCGAAGGAACTAACGAATTTAAGTCGTAAATTCACATCATTTGCTTCATTTTCAATATTCGAACATTGACCTCGTATAAAGTTGATTTTCGGAGAATAGCTCTCGTCTATTCGATCGAGCACTATTGAGAGAAAAGTAATTCCCAAAACAGTAACCGTCATAGCTATTAATGCAGCACTCTTTATTAACGAATCGAGCACTGTTGGCTACTGGCGTTTGTTTACATCCGTATACAATATGGTAGAATTTCCCTTTCTTTCTGCCGTGCGCCGATAGCCTAGGGGTAGGATCTCCGACTGATACCATAATCGGTAGGGTTTCGATCCCGTCTTGAAGCAATGGGATGTCTAGCCACACTGATGAGCTGTGATACAGCGAAACAGTCTCGTATGTAGATGACCATAGGCTCTACTTTTGTAGTGAGCACTGTTTTTTAAAAATAAAAACAAAAATATTAAAGAACTTCGGATTATTTACCTACCTTCCTATTTTTCTATATATTTGCACACACACACACACACACACACACACATATATATATATATATATATAATATATATATATATGGTTAACTTCGAGCAGATATGAGCGTTCAAGGGAAATCATGGGAAATTTGTAGTTTAAAAGCCGTAAACAGACGTTTCCTCTGTAGCTAAATGGCATAGCATTTTAAAAAAATTGGGGGGGGGCTTAAATATTTATAAATAAGTATAAATAGATCCATTTAAAAAAAAGAAATAATGTCTGATGATCGCAAAAGCGTAAAACCTAGAGTTACAAACATATCCATAGAACTGAATACAGAGAGAGGGTGTCAGTCAGATATTTAAAATCGCTTGTAAAAACGTCTAACATTCCTCTCTTGGAAAGCTTCCTGGTTCAACTAATTAGTTTCAGGATAACTTGATTATCCAGCACCTAAATCTTGCATATGACTGTATTTTTGAGATGCGGTATTGGAACTATTTACATTGTTCGAACTATTGTCCTCATCTTTATTGTCATATTCACGACGGAGAGGGCACCTTGACGTGGTGTTATTGTTAGCAAGCTTGTCACACTGGATCAATTACAAATGAATAGTGAGTTTGAGCCTCACTGTTTGCCCCATACTTCTGGCCTTGTGCCACATCTAAGCTACGCTGACAAAATAACCGTATTCACGACGGGGAATTGTTACGAAAGGGAAATAACTGATACATCCGAAAGAGGCATGGCACGTGGAACTAGAACAATCGACCTCGGTGGACGAAATATGGGATTCGGTTCGCAATTCAAACGTATATCACCTGAAGAAGGCCGGAGCGTACAACGGTCGAAATGTCCTGAATATAACAATAAAGATGAGGTCAGTAGTCCGAACAATGTAAATAGTGTAAATACCTAAATTTTGAACCGAACATTTCGAAGAT